GAGAATGTGTCCAGCATAGGAAACAGTATATGCGAAGGTGCGGAGGTGAGAGATCATAGTGTTATTGAGCAACTCCATAAGAAGCATGGCAAGGAGGGGGACAATGAGGAGACAGGTTCATTGCGGTTGCCTAGGTGCTGCCAAGGTCAAGATTTCAGGTTTTAATTCAGATCGTTTTGTATTAGTTATCTGATGCTGTGTGACAAACTACTCCAAAACTTGGTGGCTGAAAACATGAGCCATTTGGTTTTTCAGTACTGTGGATCGGCTTGGTTCGTCTGTGTGTCTTACCTGGGCTTATTCACGTGGCTGTATTCAGCTGGTGGGCCAGCTGGGAGCCAAAGTTCGGCCTACTGGATGTCTTTTTCCATGAAGTCTTCCATCCTCGAGGAGGAGAGGCTGAGCTTCTTCACATACAGTCTCAGGGCAGCTTTCCAAGAGGCCGATCCCCAGTGCCCAGGTTCCTATCAAGCCTCTGCTTTTCTCCTTTCTGAAGTCCCACTGGCCAAAGCAGTCACATGGCCACACCGGGAGTTGGTGTCAGACTGGACCACACAAGGACGTGGATACAGGTGGCCGTGATTGATCAGTGTAACACTCTGCCGTACACTTCTCCCCGAACGAGAGAGGAAGGTCAAGGAGATGAAAGGCCAGACTTGGGCTTGGACAAAACCAAGGGATTCTTGCCTGGTTTTGTGGTTTATTGTATAAGCTGGTTCAAGTTGCTTACTCACACTAGGTCCCAGTTTCCCCCTCTGTAAAATGCAAGAAAGGCTTCCATCCGTATCTCCGCTTTAGCTAAAAAGCTAAATATACAAGAATGTAAGAGCTCTTTGAGGCCCATACAGAAGGAAATAGACTTCTTTCTTCAGTAGGAAGAATTAGAGTAGCAATTGTTTAGTAGAAAGAATTTGCAAGTCTCCCAGGGAAGGCTAAGACCCTGGGATAAGGGTTGTGAGATCTTTCAGAATGGAAAAGAACCCCCATCTCTTCAGGCTGATGGACAGATGACTCCCGAAGGCCCTTTTCATACAGAAGAACCTTGCGCTGTCCCTGTCTGCTCCTGAGGTGGGACTTGGGGAACAAAGAGCTTACCCTGATCTCACCAGCTCCACACCCAGTTCATCATCCAAGATCTCTTGCTGGAAACTCCAGGTTTCTGGCCTGCAGAGTGAAATGAGCAGGTGTGCTTTCCCTGTGGGGCTTGTTAGCACTCCCCATGAAGCGGCCTGCCCTCAGATGCCCCCCTGAGGGACATTTGTTTGTTAAGTGATTGGCACTCACCTAGCCCTGACCCCAGGCTGCGGTCCCCTGGGCATCAACATGCAAAACGCGACAGACTCTTGAGATGGCCTGGCCCCAAGGGAAAGGGTAAGGAGCAGGAGCGACCCAGGAGCCCAGGCTGTCAAATCAGGTACTGGGGAAAGGCAGGCAGGTCTGAGCAAGAGCCATCCCTGTCAACGCCCACAGTCGGGGAGTCATGGAGGGACCCCTCCCTTACCCAAAGCAGAGGGCGGAGTAGCTCTTTCCCTTCTTTCCTTTAACCATTAATGAATTCAAGAAATATTTATTGCTAGGCGCTGTGATACCCCTGAGGGACATTGGGGATTTTTAAAAAATTAGATACAAGCAGAGGTGAGATTCAAAGTGAAATCATGGAGTGCTAAATTCTATGGAAGCATCTGAGTAAGAGATTACAACCTGGTCTTTCTCCGTGAGGAAGACCCTTTTGAGCTCAGACAGAAGGATGACAGGAGATGAGTAGACCAAGCCCCTAACAGGATGGTCTAGGCAGAGTGAGTGACCCTTGCAGCAGCCTTTGTGGGGAGAAACCACGGCTGGTTTGAGGACCTGAAATGAGGCCAGTGTGTGGCCAGTAGGCAGAGAGCTTGGAGGAGTTAGACACACTAGGCTGGATATACAGGCAGGACCAGACCACCAGGAGCCCTGCAGGAAATGTTAAAGCTTTACGTTTTTACTTTAATAACAAAAAGAAATGACTGACACAGGAGAGTAGCATGGTCAAACTCTCACTTTGAAAAGCTCACTCTAGCCACAGTGCAGAAACGGGTTGGGGAGGTGAAGGGTGGATGTGCCAAGACCAGCTGAGAAGCTGTAGTGACATTCCATGTGAGATGGTGATAGCTGGGCCTGAGGGTGGCAAGGGAGATGACAAGAGATGGTAAACACCAGAGACTCTTAAGGTTAGTCGGCAGGACTTGCTGCGCTGGATAGAAGTGAAGAAGAGGAAGGTGTTAGGACGCTCTGAAGTTGTTGACTGTGGAGCAGATGGATGATGACAACATTCAGTGATGTAGGAGCTCGGGGAACAGACAGAGGGGCAGGGCCACGTAAGGTCAGCTTTGCACAGCCTGAATTCGAGGTATCTTGGAGAAAGTTCGGTAGGTGTTTCTGGAGCTCCCAGGGGAGGGAAAGGCGTGCGCTAGGGGCTTAGGAGGCCTCGCCACAGAGGTTAGAGCTGCGGCCGCAGCCTCGGGTTAGACGGCTTATGGAGAGGGTGCAGCCCTGGAGGAAGGGGGCGCCTGCGGAGCAGATGGGGGGGGGGGCGATCCGAGGGACTTCTCACTTGGTGACGCGAAGTCCCCGGGAACCGTAGTAAGGGCCTGTTCGTAGTGGAGGGAGGGACGGAGGCAGACCGTTTTGGAACGGGCTGCGGAACGAGTGGGAGGTGGGAAAAGGCAGACAGCTTGGCGGAGAGCTTGGGTGACGGGAGAGGAGAAAGAGGGTAGCTGGAGGCGGGTGCGAGATCAGTGAAGTTTTCTTAAAATGAGGAGGCTCGAGCATTTGTAAATGCCAACGGAGGAAGCCAGACGGGGGAGCGGGCAGCGCGGCGGCCGCCGCCTGATGGGGGCGGAGCGCGCGGGGCGGGGCGCCGAGGGCAGGACCGGGCGGTGCGATCGCAGCGGGCGCGCTGATTGGCCGCGGGAAGGAGGGCGGTCCCGCCGCGTCCCGCTCCCGGGCGGCTCTGGACCCGCGTCCTGACCGGTGCGGCAGCCCCGCAACCCGAGGCCCCTGGCTAGTGGGAGGCCCGCGGGAGCGGGCAGGGGGCGGGTCGCCCGGGGGAAGGGCAGACAGTCACTTGGGTGTTTGCCCAGGAGGAAATCCCAAATCCCAACTGCGTATTTTGGTTTCCCACTTTTTTGTGGAGGGTGGAGATGGGGAGCCAGAAAGCGCAGCGTGGGTGGGTGGTCGGGGGGGCGAAGGGGATCGGGGCCGGGGGAGGGAGGAGTCGTTCTCAGGTGTGACCTTCAGGTGGGAGGGGAAGGCCCTCGGAGGAGGAGGAGAAAGGCCGGGCTGGGCCCCGGGCCTCCTGGCTGGGGGGGAGGGAGGAGCGGGGTGCAGAGAGAGCTTCTCCCCCGGCGGGGAAGGGGCTGCCCCAGCTGGGGCTGGGAGCCCCGTCCAAGCGCTGTTCCAGGGTAAAAGGCAGTCACGCTGCCCTGGCGCCAGCGGGGGCACACGCACCCCAGTGGCCCTCCCCTGCCCGGCTACGGGGACGGCGTTGTGGAGGAGATTCGCCTTGGGGTCTAGCGATAGCTGGGACCCCTGTAAACAGGAGGGCGGCCCTGGTGTGGAGAGCGGAGTCCCAGCGGATGGGGGAGGGGGTCCTGGGAGTCGGGGGGCGGGGAGAAGCCTTGTTAGTCATTAACTTGGTTGGTTGAAATCTGAACTGCTGAGCCTCCGGTTCTCTATTGATTGTCTCTGGAAGTGCAGCAGCGGGAGCGGGTAGCTGCGCAGAGACCAGGGGGAGGGAGGGGGAAAGGGCGGCGAAGAGAATGGGAAGCGGGCCAGACCTGGGGGCGGGGAAGGAGGGGCCATGGCAGGGTCACAGGGCTTGGTGCCAGTTGGGAGGAATCTTTGGGGAGGGCGTGGGCAGGCCAGGAAGCTCAGGTGAGCTTTGCGGGGAGGGCAGTCAGCAAAGCCACAGAGGACCACCGAGAGCAGGAAGGAGCCAGAGGATCTGGCCGAGAAGAGGAAACCGAAGCCCAGAGCGCGGTGACCTCCCCGAGGTGACAAAGTCAGAGCCTGCACCAAAACCGAGGCCAGCTGACTTCACTACACTGAGCGGAGGACACAGAAGTGAAGGACCCTGAAGCCAGAGAAGCCGAGATGATGGGCATGGAAAGTCAGGAGAAGATTCCATTGTTCAGTTTGCCATGTTTCTGAGGACAGGGTCCTTTCCTCTTCTTGCTGTGAGGATATAGTGGGCATTCAAAAAATGGCTCTGGACTGACTGAGGGAGGGGTCAGGCCGTCGGAGGGGTAAGGAGGGACAAGATACAGGAGGTGCTAGGAGACGCAGCTGCGCGGCAAGGAACGCCAAGAAGACGTCCTGTATTAATACCTGTCCGTATCCATTTACCAAAAACCAGGGCCCTGACTAGATGGGTCTTCACCAGGATATCATAGTGGGCTCCTGGCTCCCCACTATTTCTGACAGTAGGGCTCATTAAGCCTGTGTCACCTCAGACAGAAGGGAGGCCTTTCACGGGAAGCCACATTATGGCAGGCAGGGTCAGAAACGTGGGCACCGACACGCCATCCTGGTCCCCACAGCTCCCCTTGCCAGTGCGAGCTCCCAGAACAGCTCTTCTCTGGGCCTGAGGGGTGACCCAGAAGCGGCGGGAAGGGGCAATCTCTGCAGACAGAAGCAGGTGCACAAAGTGAGCAAGGGCAACCTGATGGTAGAGAGAAACAGGAATGGAAACAACACATACACAAGATGCTGTGTCTTATGACGTAGAAAATGTTATGAAGAGAAGACAAGCAGACACAAGGCTTCAGAGGCCATGCTGAGGATGTCAAGGACCCCACGTCCTGCCTGTGCCCATGGCACCAGCAGGCACCAGCCTGCCCGGTCGCGCATCATGGAAGCTTCATTCACCCTGCACGTTCCAGAGGGAGACTCTGTGCTTGTGAGCGAAGGGGCAGGAAGTCCACACTGCCTGCCCGTAATGTCTCTCTCTCCACTTTCTCTCACAGCTCAACATCCTGGTGGACACAGGCAGCAGCAACTTTGCAGTGGGGGCTGCTCCCCACCCTTTCCTGCATCGCTACTACCAGAGGCAGCTGTGAGTCCCGGGGAGGATTAGAGGGCACCCGTCCCAAGGAGCTGGGGCCGAGAAGGGTCTTGGGGGGGGGGGGGGGCTGCAGGAGAAAGACTAGTTCCTCAGATCCTTCCCGGGAGAGAAGCGTTGGGGGGATTTGAGGAGATACACTAGAGGGAGGGATAAACTGAGGGGCAGCCAGGAAGGCACTGAGACGGGCCCCCTTCCTGTGGGAGAGCGGCCTCCCGGGTCTCCTCGTCTCTGCCTGAACTGGGAGGCATGGGACTGTCACCCCACAACCCCTCAGTGGCTCTGTTCTGTGGCAACACCAGCTAAACCGAGGCTGCGCCGGCTGAGCGACAGCTCCCTGTGCTGTGGGCTCACCCAAGGGGCTACTCTCCAGCTCTGCACACCCAGGGCAAGGAAGCAAAGGAGAGCTTTCCGTAAGCCTCCCTGCTTGGACCTGTGTCAGGGCCTGAAAGCTGACATGCTCCCTGCCCCACCCAGAGTTCCAGCAGCTGGATTCAGCCCACAAGTGGAAGTGAGGGTTGAAGTGGGTTTTTAAGGTAAGAGGCAGTGAGGGATGACCTGGGAGCTCCCTTAGCATAAAAACAAGAAGTGGCTTGAGGACCCCTAACATCTGAAGCATCTCCGTGTGAAGACGTGAGTAGAAGCTGAAATCCCACTCTTGGATTTCTGGGCAAGTGCCAAAGTTACCTTCCCCTTTAACTTCCCTGTCTATAGAAAGCAGTCAGGGAGTGGGATGTGGTCAGACCAGTGAAGGGCTATTCGTGCCAGCAATGCCCCCCAGCCCCATCTCTGTCCCTGCCACACACAAGGCCTGGTTAGTGGTGTGATTAAACTCAGGTAGGGGTGGCACATGCTGATGAACATGTTTCATACAAGTGTCATACAAGTGGTGTGTACACCCCCTGCCCCACTGACATGCTTGTGTGGGTCCCTCCTTTGCAAGAACTTGCTATAGAGGTCCCACATCACCCCAATGGCACTTTCTCTGTCACCGAGATGGTACCACCTGGTCCCAAGGCAGCAAGAATGTCAATAGCTCCCTTTCTCTGGGAGCTTGATGGAGCTGGGGGAGGAAGAGAGGCCTGCTAGCTGTCACTTCAGCAACAACAGGCACAGTACACAAAGCCTGGGCTTGTTCTTCACATGGCCTGAACTCAAGATGTAGGAATTGGAGCTCTGGAGACAGCAGAGTGGGCCCCAGCAACAGCCCCCCTCATCTGCGTGCAAGGTCACTTTACACTGTTTTGGGTGATTGATCAAGGGATGTTCTGTTGAGCATCAGAAAACATCTTATCTGATACAGGATGCCCCTGAGATGAGGTTAGATGCTGGATCCCTGTGCCATTGTTGTGGTTGTACATCCACACATCTCTGCCTCCTTTCCATAGGTCCAGCACATACCGGGACCTCCGGAAGGGTGTGTATGTGCCCTACACCCAGGGCAAGTGGGAGGGGGAGCTGGGCACCGACCTGGTGAGCATCCCTCATGGCCCCAACGTCACCGTGCGTGCCAACATCGCTGCCATCACTGAATCAGACAAGTTCTTCATCAATGGCTCCAACTGGGAGGGCATCCTGGGGCTGGCCTATGCTGAGATCGCCAGGGTGAGAGGAACAAGGCCTAGCTGCAGACACAATGTCTGCGCATTGCAAACTGCACGCTGCACAGGGATGGAGTTGGGAGAGGGAGGGAGGGATGGACCAAAGGAGGGAAACCAAAGGATTCTGCAGAGGGGTGGGGGGGCAGTCAAGTTCATGCCCGTAGAGGGCAGAACTATAGTGAGCGACACTGGGGTAAGTACAGTAATAGGCTGTGGTTTCTATTGACTAAGATTTTAACAAATAAGAGAGGCCTCCATAAATCTGGAACAGGTTAAGCATATGGGGACCAAAGATCCTATAGATCCTTGCTGTTTGCATTGCCGGGATCTCTTGTTAATCCTCTACCAAATCTCAGTACCTCAAAATGGTACTTCCCAAGAAACAGCTCCCAAGTCTTTGCTTTCACCCTCCTGTTCAGGCAGGATGCTGGCCGCTTTTCATCAGGGCCTCTATGTGAGGATTCACTCCTTATCTCTCTCTGCACAGCCTGATGACTCCCTGGAGCCATTCTTTGACTCCCTGGTAAAGCAGACCCGCGTGCCAAACCTCTTCTCCCTGCAGCTCTGTGGCACTGGCTTCCCCCTCAACCAGTCAGAACTGCTGGCCTCCGTTGGTGGGAGCATGGTGAGTAGGTCTTGGTAGAGGGGCGGTCCTGGCACTAGGCAGAGAGAAGGGGACCATTTGCCTTCCCTCCCTCTAAGGCCACACCACAGTCTTGGCTCCACTATTTAGAATCAGAAACCTCTTTATATTCACCACCTCCACTTTTCCTTTCCATCCTTTTTCTCCTTGTATTATTCCAGAAAGGATTCGAGATACCTATAGTAAACATGGAAAGGATGAGAGTATTAGGAAAATTTAAAAGGAAATGAAAATAAGATCAACCAAATTAAGATTATTTAGTCTGATGATCAGAAGACAAATGTAAGGAGTTTAAAAGTCTATTTATTAATTAGGACAACTGATGGATGGTACTCCATCTCCAACAAGCACAGAAAGTAAAACTTATAATGGCAAATTATCATTCATTCAATATTTATTATGCCAGTTTAGGTTTAAATAACTATATCAAGAGCTGTGTGATTCTGGAGCAAATAATTAAAAATACTGGAAGGTCTCTTCCTTTGAACACATCCTTAACACATTTAAGAAACTATAATCACGTCAGGGCATGATTTGACTCAAAGCAGGAAGATGGGGAAGGTAATCTGTAGAGGGCCTTGCCACCCCCCAACAATTACTGATTCTATTGCTCGGTCTCTGGGTGACTTGCTGTCCTTCTGTGCCGGGACCCAGGTACCTGCCTCTTTTTCTCCCTAGATCATCGGGGGTATCGACCAGTCACTGTACACGGGCAGCCTCTGGTACACACCCATCCGGCGGGAGTGGTATTACGAGGTGATCATTGTGCGGGTGGAGATCAATGGACAGGATCTGAAAATGGACTGCAAGGAGGTAATGGAACCGAGCGGAAACCAGGGAGAGGTAGCAGGGAGGTGACAGATACGAAGCCAGACCCTGAGTTCTGAGGTTAGGAGGACAGAGCAGAGATGCAGGGCCTGCAGAAAGTGCTGGGGGCTGAGCCTTGAACAGTCAGGAGCTTAATGGTCACACAGAGCTGAGGTGTGGGGCGAGGGACTGGCAGGGCACTTTCCCGGGAGCTGCATGGCTTACGGTCTGGCTGAGAAAAAAGCATGTCTGGGCTGCAGTCACTGCCTTGCTGCACAGCTTTGAGGCAGTGTGCTGTGCTGCACAGGGGTCTGGCTTTGGAGTCAGAAAGACCTGGGTTTCTAGATTAGCTAGGTGCCCTTGGCCAAGTCACTATCTTATATTTCAGTTTCCTCATCTACAAAGCAGAGGAAAAACAGCTTTCTCAAAGATTGTGGTGAAGACAGAGAAAATGAGAACAGGCTTATCCCAGTGCCTGGCACACAGCAGTCCCCAGTAAATGGCGGCAAAGCCATTTGGACCTTCCTCAGATTCCTGATGTGTGTTAAATTAGATATAAAAGTACTGTCGTAGTTAAAAGCACCATACAAGGCATTTTTATTTCAAGATTTGGAGAATGCCCACCCAAGATAATAAGAGTGAATATTTCGTGAGTGCTTCCTATGTGCCCTGCACCACTCAGCACTGCAAGTGTATTAACTGATGGAATCCTTATGGTGACTCTCCGAGGTAGGGACATTATCATCCTCACTTTAAAGATGAGGAAACTGAGGCACAGAGGTTCAGTAACTTGCCCCAAGACACACACCTAAGCAGCGGCAACGCCAGGATGCCGACCCCGGCAGGGCCCCAAGAACCCAGACTCTCCCCTCCTTCCGGCCAGAGCCTGGCGTTGAAGGCGGCGTTTTCCTATATTCTAGCCCTCTCTTCTCCCCCTTAGTACAACTACGACAAGAGCATCGTGGACAGTGGCACCACCAACCTCCGTCTGCCCAAGAAAGTGTTTGAAGCTGCTGTCAGATCCATCAAGGCGGCCTCCTCGGTCAGTGCGACCAGGGACGGGGCGAGGTGACCCAGAATCATAAGAAGCCCGTGAAAATCGCATTCCTCAACCAGAGCCTTAATATCTGCCCTTAGATTCCTCTGCCAGATCCCCCAAAACAGTTCTCTTCTGTGAGCCTTGGTTTGCTTGTCACACGGTACCCCCGGCACAGAGATCTGGCCTCCCTCTGCCACTCTTTCCTACATCCTTGGCTTCCGGTCTCCCCTTCCCCAGCTGGGATATTCCACGGGAAAGCAACCAAGGGGACCAGCGTTATCCGAAGCAGGAGAGGCGAGATGAGGAAAGAGGCTGTTTCCTCACCGTCATCCCTTTCTCGCCAACAGACAGAGAAGTTTCCCGATGGCTTCTGGCTAGGGGAGCAGCTGGTGTGCTGGCAAGCGGGCACCACCCCTTGGAACATTTTCCCAGTCATCTCACTCTACCTAATGGGCGAGGCCACCAATCAGTCCTTCCGCATCACCATCCTCCCACAGGTGCGTCCCCACCCTGAGTCAGTGGCGTCTCAGAAGACGACACGTGCATGTTGGGAACAGTGAGCAGGCGCGGCTTCCCAGACCGTGGAAGACGGAACAGCTGAGTGTCCACTGGTAAAGGGCTCTTGGGAAGACCAATCCCTCAGGGCGTAGGGCCAGCAAAGCGAGGAGCGGCCTAAGGGCACAGGCTCTGCGACGGCCGCGGTGGGGTGAAGGACGGGGAGAAGGCTTCCTCTCACTCTGCTCTCTTGTCCTTAGCAATACCTGCGGCCAGTGGAAGATGTGGCCACCTCCCAAGACGACTGTTACAAGTTCGCCATCTCCCAGTCATCGACGGGCACCGTCATGGGAGCTGTCATCATGGAGGGCTTCTACGTTGTCTTCGATCGGGCCCGGAAGCGAATTGGCTTTGCTGTCAGTGCCTGCCATGGTGAGAGCACCAGGGTGGGGGGCAGGGTCCGTCTGTCCATGCTCCCACACCGGCAGTTAGGGTGCCTGGGCCCATCAGTCTAGGAGGCAGTAGGAGGTGCCACAAGGAAGAGTCAACCCCAGTGCAAAAGCTAGTTCCAGAAGGTGTGCTGTTCCTGTGCTGCCGGGCATGGCAAGCCCTGCCTGGACGGGGGACCCCGGGGGGGGGACCTGGAGCAGCGAGATCTGCCTTCCCAACTCGGGAAGCCCCAGGCCCAAGGGCAGCAGGCGGAGCCTAGAGCGACCCTGTCAGCTGCTGCACAGGCAGACGGGGCTACCCTGGCATGGCGGCGGGGTCTCGCAACTAGAATTCAGCAGCAGGTGTTTACCAGGTATATATAGGGCTGCCTTTTAGGTAGCACTCCCACTCGAGAGGGATGTAGGAAAAGGGACGCTGCTCCCTACTACCCAGGAGAGAAATGCCTCCGGCTTTCGGTCCTGCTCCTGAGCGTCTCCAGGGAAGGAGATGCTGCAGCCTCCTCAGGGGCTAATGTCAAGACCTATCAGGAGTTTCTTTCTGTTGTCATGCAAACTGCTGCCTGACAATGAGAGCTGCTTGTTCACGTCTGCCCTTTCTCTAGTGCACGATGAGTTCAGGACAGCAGCAGTGGAAGGCCCCTTTGTGACCCTGGACATGGAAGACTGTGGCTATAACATCCCACAGACAGATGAGTCAACCCTCATGACCATAGCCTATGTCATGGCTGCCATCTGCGCCCTCTTCATGCTGCCCCTCTGCCTCATGGTGTGTCAGTGGCGCTGCCTCCGCTGCCTGCGGCACCAGCACGATGACTTTGCTGATGACATCTCCCTGCTTAAGTGAGGAGGACCTCGGGCAAGAGAGAGTCCTCTCAGCCGCGTCAGTGGCCCACGCTGGTCACGAGGAGACACGGACGGCCCCTGTGGCCAGAGCGCCTCAGACCCTCGCTCCCCACCGAAGGCCTGCCTTGACGAGGGGCAGGACACGCTGGCAGGTGGGCCGCGGGGATCGCCCCTGCAGGAGACAGGAGCAGAGACGGGGGCGCTCTGGTGGCAGGAGTGCCCTTGGCACCTCAGACGAGTCAGGAAATTCTGCTGCTTTGAAACCTCAGCCCTGAACCTTTGCCCACTGTCCTCCTAGACTCTCCAACCCAAATTCTCATGGTTCCTGAAGCAGGGGCATCGCACCCGTCACCCCAGGGCGTGTCCCTGCGGTGCCCTGGCAGGGACCAGGACGGTGTTTCCCTGCAGGCCGCAGTTGGTAGGACTGGAGGCAGTTGCGACCTGCAGTATAAACCTAACACTGGTGCAAAGATTGCCTCTTGAATTAAACAAAAAATAATTGGGCGGAGTGTTTGTACGAATGGGGGAGGTGACAAGAAGAGAGGGGGTGCAGAGAGGGGGGCACTGGGATCAGAGCGAGGCCAGCCCAGCTCCAGGTGGCATCTCCAGACAGAAGCCCGCCTTGGAAGGTGGGCACTGCTGCCCAGGGTCTCCTCTTCCGTGGTGGCAGCTGACCAAGTGACGTGGGAAGGAGGGCGTACCCAGCCCAGGGCTCTTTTCAGCGCTCTTAAGTGAGAAGTGCCCACAAAGAAGTTCCATCTGACAAATGAACTTCTCCCTATTCCCCTTGTCTCTCCCGAACCCTTTACCCCACATGTGACAGGCAACACTTAGGTATCCCGACCCCCTCGGCCCCAGGTGCCCTCTGGGAATACAACGGGAATAGAGCAAATAGAGCAGGGCTGGGCTTCCTGGTGACAGTCCCCTCCCTCCTGCAAACCCTGACTCCTGGAGCTCTACAGCTCAGGTGCTGGAGGAACAGACAGGAAACCCCTCCTACTTAGTCCTCGAAGCAGAGTCCTGAAGACTGATTAACAGGTACAGAGTTGCTGCCTCCTCTTCTGCCAGGATTTCTTCCTGCTCAGCTGGAAGAAGTAGGAAGATCTCTGCCTAGAACAGAGCAGTTCCACTGCCTCCACGCACTCTAACGTCCCCTCCACTTACTTGGCTAAGACACCCCTCAGCGGCACTAGTGTGATGCAGGAGTGTCAGAAACACAGGGCTTTCCGGCTCTAGCACTGCTGCCTTCGGGATGAAGGCTGCTTGGAGAAAGGACAGCGGCCTGGGGCTCCTTACTTCCTTCACCAGGAGCTCCCCAGTGGAGGCCATCCTTTCCCCATCCTGCTCTGTGTGTCCCACTCCTAATAGTACTTGGGTACCCAGGCTGGTTCCGGGGGCTGCCTAGTGGGAACCACGTTCATTTCCTCCCTATCAGTTCTACCGCAGCTGACTATGATACCAGTGTTGGCGGAAGAGCTGAATATTCCTAATATACCCCCCGGATCCTACTTCCGTCTGGTCAACACACTGCTTTCAGGTATGAGACCTGCTGAGTGCGGAATTACCTGAGGGAGAGGGAAATAAGACCCCTGAAGGGCCCCTGGAGATCCCAGCCTCAGCCAGCTGCCCACAAGCCATAAACCAATAAAACAAGAAATACTGGGTCACCGTTTTCTATCTGGGTTCTTCCATCCCCACTGTGTGGTGCTGCTTTGGGTGACAGGGGTCAGCCCCTAACCGCAGAGACTGACAGTGGGACGGGAGACTGGCCACTTCCAGCCCAGAACTTACTGTGTAAATAAACGTCCAGATTTGCTACCATGAAATGAAAACGCCACATTGTCCTTTATAATTTCTACCCATGTTGGAAAAACTGGCTTCTTCCTAGGGCATAAAACCCAAGCCTTTCATTAGAAAGTCCCATTACTTTTTTCAACAGAAAACTTGTACTTACTTTTCTTTTACAGTTACTTCCTTTCTACCCTTGAACAATTAACTCTATAAAAAAAAAACTTGGCAACAGCTTCTTGCTTGTAAAAATATGTATTATGTATCTCTACTTTTAAATTCTCCTCCTCAAAAATGTCCTGTGTCCACCCACTGCATTAGGGGCCTTCCCAGTGGCATGGCTTCTACCGCCTCAGGCCAGCGGGCAGAGGGAAAGGGGGCGGGGACCACCAGCCTGAAGTGCTGCTTTCTGACGGATCTCAGGAGGGCAGGGCGACTGCCTGGCCCCCACCCTCGTCACGGCTCCCCGAAGCGCGCGTCCTCCAGCCGGCTTCTGAGGGACTTGTACAGGGAAGAGGTTAAGCCCCACTACTCCTTCCTTTTTTTTCTCTCTACTCCTTTGGCTTCAAAAGTTTGTTGGAAACAATAATCTTTATACCCATTTCTGCTTTCTAAATTTTCAGGCGACGCTGAAAAATACTGCAGTGGCCCAAAGGCTGCTGCAAAGTTGAAAGGAAAGAAAATCTTTAGATTACAAGGTAAAAAATGGATTCCCCGACACCCCACCCAAATGAGAAGAACATTGGTCTTCCATTTTACCACATTTCCGTTCATGACGGCTACCAAACTGCAGACATTAGCATTTCATTAACCAAAGAAAGTGGGTCATCTGACCTCTAAGAAGAGAGTACTCAGGCCATTTCAATCACCCTACAAGATGCCAAGGAGGTCCTGGGAAGTCCAGCTCCTTAAACATGCTAGCCAATAAACATGGGCAAGAGAAGAGAAAGAGTATTTCCATGAGCTGATAGGCAAGGATGAAAGACAAGGAAAAAAATAACAAAAATGGGAAAGAATTTCATTGGATCTGAAAGGAAGTCTCTGCTACCCTGATACATATTGCTAGTGCCAGGAGGCATTTCCAGGTCCCAGAATGGGAAAAATTCAGCTGTTGGTAATATAATGGTGTCCTTCCCATGGAACTAATTTTTTCTTTAACACTTAGTTTTTACTTGTTTAATTCCAAGAGAAGGGAACTGAAGCCATTTCCTGTAGGAGTAAAGATGAAGGAGAAGAGTTACAGCTCTAATAGAGTTACTACAGCTTTCCGAGGTCTAGACCTCAATACCAGAGGTGCTCAGTAAGCAGAAAGGAACAACCATCCGGCTCCAGACTATCTATAGAACAAATGACTTCTAACCTTGAAATCCAACCTCCCTTCCTCATATCCCTTTGGTCTCCATTTTTCCCAGGACAGGGAACATGTCCCCCATTGTTTTCTTGCTTCAAAAGTTAAACCTCAGCACCCCAAGATCATTCTGCAAGTAATTGTGCACCGACATCTCCTCACCCCAGTGCCTGCCTGGAGCTCACCCACGGTCATCCAACGACTTGGCGGTGAACCAACTGCCTTAACCGTCAGCAGGGAGGGGGGTTAGCTGGTTAGGGGACCAGAAGCTGACAGTGGCCAGAAGGACGAGGAGGGGACTTCACCAGGTCGGTGTGTCAGAGCTTGATCAGAAGCCAAGCCAGCGGCGGCAGGAGATGGCTCAGCCCAGGAAAGACCTGTGGGTTGTGCTAGTGCCTGAAGAGATGACTATCCAGGAGATGCGTGGACAGAAGTTTGTGGTGGGGGTGGGGGAAAGGGGACCTGGTTATGTTGTTATTCTTGGACTGTGAATTTTGCTGATGTAAAACAGAATATTCTGTAAATCTAACGTCTATGTGCAAATAATGAGCGTTAACACAGTAAAATAGTCAATGAAAAGTCAAACCATTAGGGTTACATTTTTTCCCCCTCAATCAGTCCCATTGTGTCCATGCGGAGCAGAGTGGCTAGAACAACATGGAGGCTTCCGGAGGCTTTCCATAAGCAAGGCATCTGGCTGGACAGCAGGTGAGCACCAGGGTTCAAATCTGCATAAATAAGCCTTAAGAAAACGGGCTAGAGGCTGAGCCAAATCAAAGCAGGATGGCCTGAGAGCAACAGCAGCTTACTAGATGGTTTTGTACTGTATCTGAAAACAACCCTAGGCAAGAATATCATAATTTCAAGGGCAAACTAAACATCATCTTACCTACAACCTGCATCCCCCCAAGGAGTTTCAAGGTGAGGGGGACAGACCATTTCTGCATAATATACATACTCTCATTTACGAACATTTGAATACAGACTTTCTATACACACATTACCTATATAATAAAAATGTACATGGCATGAGTATAGGTCACTGTATAAATATAGAGTTTTAGAAATCTTGAACCCGCGCTTCCTGTTCACATCAGTTTCTCCTCTTCTTCCTCCCCAGTCAGATCCATCATTTAAGAGTTGGACAAAAGGGACAAGTGTCATTTGTGTTGGTCTGGGCCCAGAATTTGATACACTGGAAAGAAAGAAAGATACATCTCAGGTTTATCTGGAAAGATGGAGGGAAGGAGAGGAGAGAGTGACATTAAGGTTCAGTAGGTCTAAGGACGTGTACTAAGAAAAGCTCATACAGGGGACTAGAAGGGCTATTGCACTGGCTCTTACTCCCTAAAGAATCTTCAGAGCAACAGAACCTGTTCTTTTCACAGAAAAGCTAATAACTGTGTGAGGCTGCTGCTTGCTGAGTATCTGGTGTGCCCTGTGCCTTTCTATGATCCATTCAGTCTGAGCTGAGCTTCCATTTCCGATTACCTATCACCCTGGGATCTGACCAGGAATTTAGATGTAAATTCAGTTTCACTGGAAAATGAAAATCAACAAAATAGGGAAGGGCTCGTCCCTGTCGCTGAGACTTAACTCTGCCTGGTAATAGTAAGAGACAGGAATAGCGGGTCAGTTTGTGAAGATGACCTCTAACAGACAGGCCTTCAAGCTAGTCTGTTCATGGAGTTATTAATCTCATATTCAGGTTCCCAATTCCATTCCTCTCACCTAAGCAAAGTCTCCTGACAATGCTCTATTTGAAACAACAGTTAGATGTGTATTCCCTAGTGTCAGTTTTCCCAGAAAGTGACCTCTCAGAGCTCTAGTATGAACTGCTTACCCAGTCCCCTAAGGGGAGTGAGGTGAGAGGAAACTGGGAGATCCTAATCGCCAGTATTCTGAATTCTGCTGATGTGTAAGCCACAATTTACTGAAAACCTTATGTTTAGATATTAATGATGAACATCAACACATTAAAATGTTCAGGGAAAATTAAATCATCTCAACTGTCAAAAAAAAAGAACTGGAGAACGAGGAAGGTATGTAGTACCCACCTCCTTGTGCAACACATGGGTACAGGCCATTGGATGCAGCTCACTGGGCTGGACCAGCTTCTGGCACATTAGACACAGCTTACAGGCGGCTGGAGCCTGCAGAACAGAGGAGGGGTGGTCAAAACAGTAAGAACCTCTGGGTTTCCCTGTCTTTCATGTCCACGATTCCATGGAGCAAAAAGACATTATACCAAAAGAAATAAAAGTTCAAATACAGACTTGCTGAAAGTACTTGCATTTTCCCAGCTGGGGCTGCCAACAACTCAGCTGGTGAGATGGTGGCTTTTTCCTGCACTCTACCTGTAAACCTGCTCCCTCCTTCCCCCCAGCTTCTCCACATCCCAGTTTTCAAAGAAAAAGAATCTTACATGCGAAGACCTTCCAGGATATGAAACTTGGGCAGAAGGCAAGAACATTGGGGTACTGATTTGGGTCAGTGGAGCAGGGAACAAGGCCCGGATCCGACCAAGTGGCTGTGGGCAGAAACACTGTCAGAGTATGGAAGCAGAGTCTGAGTACCAGAGCGTATCACAAAAAGAAATAATTTATTTCCCAGGCCAGAAAAGGAAGAAAGCAGACCAGAGAGCCCTGGCTACAGTGCTGTTTCCCACTCCAGGTTTTTCTGAAGTCGACCCCTTCCCCATCATTTCGGCAGCTCCGAGTCACCCCAGGCAGCTCTTCCTACCTGGGCACCAGCTGCCACCCGCTCATGTTCCGCCAGCCGGGCGGCTACCAACTGGATCAGTTCCTCCATGGTCAGACCTGCCATGGTGGTCCGTGCCGTCTTTATTTGCTGAAGAATGTTGGTCATCTGGGCCCTAAGGAAGAAAAATGTCCAGGGAGGGTGCTTACACTATGCTCATGGGGCATGTCCATGAAACCTCCCCTACTGAGCCCATAAACATCTCTCTGACAAACTTTTTTTAAATTAGCCCTTAAAGATACTCACTTATTGCATTGTGGGAACCGAGTCAACAGCTTCTCCAAGATCTTCTCCAGTTTGTCTACTGGTTGGGGCCTGGGACTTTCAGTAGAAGACTTAACACCGCCCAAGCCTGGGGGAGGCGGGATGGAGGCGGCAGGGGGCATGTGTGGACCGTGGGGGCCAACAAGGGGACCCAAGCCAGGGCTACTTCTCCCATGGGAGCCAGGAAGGGGTGGGGAAGGCTGGTTGGGCTGGGACAGGGCAGGGTTCAGGCCTGGGAAAGACAAGGAGCGGGGGTCTGCACTGGGCATAACCATGGGCACTGTGACCTGCCCAATGGAGAAGGGCATCCGAGGAGCCAGAGAGGGGCTGGGCTGAAACACCTGGAGCAGGAAGTCTGTCTGCAGAGGTGGAGACAGAAAAGAAGAAGATAAAGCTGAGAGCTGGAGCGGAAACCAACAAGCAACTCCTACACCAAGTAATACCAATAATCATTATAACCAATAATAAAACCAGCAACTTCAAAAAAAGAACAAGTTAGAGACTGGCTGTGCCACAGACACAGAAAGGCAGACTCCCCCCAGCGAGCACTCCCACCTCTGACGGGGGTGGAGGCAGAGTAGGAGTGGGGATCTGAGGAAGGCTGCTCAGCTTGGCTCCATTCCTCACTGACTGGATGTGACTATTAAACTGGTCCTGGAAAAGAGAGCAAGGAAGAGATTACCCTTCACTGCTGAGCCACGTGGGCCTCTCCAGGGTACCACTCAGTGCCACGAAAACAGCAGGGGCCCCGGGTGGCAGTGACAAGGCCCCTCCTTGTCCCTAGGAGTCACCTGCACAGACCAACTCTGACTCATGGTCACCCACTACCACACTTACCCGAACATTCTTTTTCATTATCCGAACTCCATTCAGCCTTGTCTCCCACTCCTGTTTGGAACGAACTGTCTCTAGTGTTGGGGGAGTTGACCTTTCAAGAAACCAACAGGAATTTAAAGAATTAAACACAGACCCACTTCTAAGTCTCTGAGATCACAGAACCGTGGCTGGCTCCTGGGCCCAGACAGAAGAGGTCAGACCAGGTGCAAGAGAGAGCCGAGGTTCTCAGTCATTTGCCTCACTTTCACTCCAGCACCTTTTAAGCGGAGCACTGGAGAAAGAGGACCGCCCGCAGGGAGAGGGTTTCCGCCTGCCCGTGAATGACACAGGGGCCTTCCGGGTTCCATGGCAGGAGGCGGGAGGAGAGACGACTACAGAAGAAAACAGACCTCCAACGATGTCTGTTGTGCTCTGACACTGTAAGAGACACTGCTTATCCAGTCGGAACAAATACAATAAAAATAAGAAACTGCAGAAGAGAAGAATTAGAGCTCAAGGCAGTTCAGACGCAGGGAGACATCACTGAACAGTCACTACCGCACAGGCAGAGATGGCCTTGAGGCCCCTGTGGCCCCAGGGCAGGCACAGGCTACCTCACCTCGGGTCTCAAATGCCTGAAAAACCAAGTGCAACGAGCCCGGCAGGGCCACCGACACCCTAGAGCGGGGGGCACTCACTTGAGGTAAGTAAGGCGCAGCTCTGCCTCCTTCTCTGCTTCTTCCAGCTTCAGGACCAGCAACTCTTTCCGACTCTCTAGCGACAGGATCTAAGGAGACCACACAGCACACACTCAAATACTTTATTCATTTGCCATACACGAGGCCGCTGCTAGATCGTGAACACAAGGGCCATATGGTATGATCCTTACACGGCTTAGGGCTATGACACTACCAGAAGTTTATGTCATCTGCAAATGGCTTTCATTTTCCATACTTTTTATATTACTTGTAAATTAGTATGTGTGTTCCCATCCAAGTACTAACCAGGCCCAACCCTGCTTAGCTTCCGGGTGCACGCTCCAAAAGTGATATAATACAGATTAGCATTTGCTTCTTGGGAAGAGAGTAGAAAATAAAATGAGTTTATC